AATGGTGCTACCAGTCAGCAATAAAAATAGTGAGAGGGAGGGAGAGACCGGACTCTGCACAGACATTTCATTGCACCGGATCAAAAGTTGTGTTGTCAGGGCAGCTGCAAAGCCCTCTGCGCATCCCTGCACACACCAGCACTCCCAGAGACAGTCACCACAACCATCCCCTTCACCCTGAGCCCACCACGCCAGGGACGGACCCTGCCTCCCCTGTGCTGTGCTAGGGGTCCCTCCAGCAGCACACACATCTACGTGGCTCCTGCTCCGGCACAGCATCCGCCTTGGCGACAGCCAGAGGGTACCGGCCCAGCAAAGGGGCTTTTCCAGCCCCCCTGCAGAGCTGTCCACTAGCCCAGACAACGCAACCTTCATTCCTCCCGTCCTGGGATTAGAATGCAGATTTTTTTTTTTTTTTGGTCTCTCTCAGAAAAGGAATGCATTTTTTGCTTTAGAAATATATTTTCGTAATTTTTTTAAATCCCAAACATCCCCTTCAGAAGGTGCTGGGCAAAATACAGGCAACAAATGATGCCATCACAACAAGACAACAGAACAACTGGAAGGTTTTACAGAAATCAAAAGAAGAAAAAAAAAAGTATTAAATCCATTACACTAGGAACAGCAAGAGACAGTATCACAGCGGTACGTACTTTAATAAAGTAAAGAGATGCTGCAGCATGCAGTATTTGTCAAACTGACAACATACACAGACCCCTAAGGAGGGGACGAGGGAGACCTGAGCTGGAGTCCGGATTTTAAAGACAATGCACATAAAAGGCTTCATAAACCTGCAATTCCCACAAACCAAAAAAAAAATCCCATAGGAGAAGGGAGGGGAGTTCCCAGCTCCAGCCAGCAGCAGTGCCGGGAGCTTTGGGCTGCAGTCGGTGCGATCCCGGAGCCACAGCGTGTTCGTGTCCCCCCCCCGAACCCCCGAGAGAAATCAGCTCCTGCCCAGGTACCAGTGGCCGATTTCACCCCATGCCTTCAAAACCAGCCAGGGACAGGGGAGTCTCGGGGGGGGCTGTAGAGTTTTTTTTTTTCTCTCTTCTTCTGCCAAAGCATTGCCAAACTAGGGAGGGAAGTCCCTGTTGCACACCGAGGCTGCTAAGTGAAAGCCAGAGATGCCGCCGGTTATCACAGGGCGTCACAGCTTAGTCCTTGACTAAAAGAGGGGTAAAAAACCCCCAAAACTACAGGTCCAGACTGCAAAGGCTTTCCACTGGCCGGAAAGCTAACTCGTTAGCCCAAAAATCCTCTTCCACGGCAGAGGTGGCTTATTTAAGGGCAAGCTGGGCGGCGGGCACTCCTTGGGGTGGGGAGCGCACACTCCAAAATGTCCCTTCACAGGACCTTCTCCTATGGCCTGCTGCTGGAAGCCACCTACAGCATGTGTCAAATGAGGACACCAGAAGCTGACACTGTGTACTTTAAGGTTTTTTTTTATTTTTTCAATAAAGGGACAAAATGGGTGTATGAACAGGATAATGCAGACAACTGCCAAAAAAACACAGACAGTGGTTTTTCCAATAGAACTTAACAAAGACCAGAAACAAATACAATAAAAAGCCAGGTTGTAATGACCTTTGGTCATCCAAATAATTAAAAAAAAAAAGTTTTTTAAAAAAAATCCCCCCCCAAAAACCCCCAAAGAAAAATAAAAGATCAAATTAAGTGCCTCTGTTTTGAAAACAGCACATAAGCAATAATAAATAGTGACTCCCATAGTAAAAGATAAAATTTCAAGTTACGACAAACAGCTTTCATTACAGGAATAGAAAAGGCCAATAACAAAATATTCTGCATTGCCATTTACAAAAAAGTATTGACTCAAGCGGGCTTTCTCTTTAATATGCTTTGCATATGAAATTCTTTCCAATCTAAATATAAAGCACCATTTAGTTTTTGGCAATGAAAAAAACTGCAAAACGGTTTTTTCTCTTTTTTTTTTTTTGTTTGTTTTTTTTTAGCTTTTTCTTTTTCTTTCTTTCTTTCTTTCTTTCTTTCTTTTTTCCTTTCTTTCTTTCTTTCTTTCTTTTACTGCATATGAAGTTAAGATGCTGGAATGTCAGGTGATAGAAGGAAAGGGACATAAAGCACACTACATAACAAACCAACGTTATTAGCTTGCAGTACTGCATACAGTATGGCAGCAGAAAAAAGAACGAAAAAAGATATGTACACCCCTCTGTGACGGCCAGCAGCGTGACATCTTAACAGTTTTCCCCCAAAAGAGCCATTATATGGCCTCAGATCTGTACAATGTCACACTTGTCTTTTTGTCTTTTTTCTTTTTTTTGAAACATACAAATAATTTGCACTATATTATCCTGCCAAATTAAAAAAATATACTGTGGCAGCCTGTGGTTTTTTTTTCCACTACCAAAAAAGGTACATCAATACCTTTTAAGAGAACAAGCAACAGTTAAAAATACAAGCTTCAATATAAATACTATAGTGCCTACACTAGATGAACATTTAATTCAAATACCATTCTAGAAATACAGAAAAAAGAGACCATAAATGTGTTTTAGCATAGGAATCAACATGAGTGTGCATTTTCCTATATTTAAGTACTATATAATCTTAAACCTTTCCCCAACGCATGTTTTTATACAACCTGAAGAGCTGTGTATATCCAAGGCATAGAATTTCCACTACCATTTTAAAATGAGTAACAAGTCTTGTACACCACCAAGACGATGAACCCTAAAATACAGTTTCCCCCTAAACATAATGAAGGGTTGTGGGGTTTTTTTTCTTTTTTTTTCCTTAAAAAAATTCTCTTAACATTTATATTTTAAAAAGAGGGGGTTTTTTGTACAAAAAAATCCTTGCACTGTAGGAGCAAAAGCAATCATTCATTGTATGTGACTGTAGAGTCTGTTTCCATTCACAGCGTTGTAATGTCGCGTCCGAGAAGATAAGCTCATTAGTCAAGTAAATGGCTGGCAAAGTTCGGGGTTTTTTGGGGTTTTTTTTGTTTTGTTTTTTTATGCTCATAAATGAGATCATGCTCGATTTTCTTTTTTAATGGGGTTTTTTTTCAGCATTCTTGCAACTTTTCCCTTAGTATAGACCTGTAAACTGGGAAAACTATACAGTGCACTTAATTGTCCTATCTGAGCAGTCTTATTTTATACTCAACCTCCGTACCTTCAATTAAAGAAAAGATACAGACATCACAGGCAGAGTCAAGTGCTATTTGAACACCAACCGGGGCGGGCGCTAGCTTAAGAATAAAACAAGGAATCTGCTTCCACGTCAACACAAATAGCACACAGGGTTGGGGGGATGGCGGTGGGGTGGGGTGAGAGGGGTAGGGGAATGGGGGGACGATACGACATGACTTCTAGGGAGCACAGAAAGATACTGCTACGTTTTTGCCTTTTTTCATCTTTTTTTTTTAATTTTCCATTACTTCTTCTGAGCGTCATATTAAAGGCAATAATTAACAGTTCATAGTTAATCATCACTGTGTCAATATCAGCTTATACACCTATTCTAGTTTTAAATGGCAAACAGTACCACATTGTCCTAATAAACCACAAGTTTTTTCTTTTTTTGCTCCACTATCCGTTACACTCAGTAAAATATTATTGCCAGTCTTTTTTTATTCTATGTTTTATATGGTATACATGAGGTCTTAAAGTTTATAATTTGATTGTCAGCTAGACAACCACGTGGCTCTGGATTTATTTGTTTTGGTGCCAGAATCAATAAAGGATATTATTAAAAGTAAATATCTTCATAAAACCGATTTCCTTACTTGTGTATTTAATGGTGTTGAAGGGCCTCCGCACGTTTCACATTCTATTTAATCATCAGAGGGGGCCAGAAATAAAAGTTTGGGTGGGGGGCGGCAGGAAGGTCCTGTATCACGTTTTAAGCTCTCTCCAGGAGCGAAGCAGGCTTTTAGACTGGTATGATAAGTTCTGTTTTTCAAAAAAAATAATAAAAGGCAGGGGAGAATGATGATTAACTAGGACTGAGCAGGTCATTTCTTTCTCTTCCTTAGTTTTCTCTTTTCCTCTTCATTCTTAGGTCCTAGTTTCTTCATTCTTAGGTGAGATGGACTCACAAGCTTGGTGGGAGAGGCTCACCACTGTGACTGACATGGAGACGAGCTACGCGTGGAGGACGAGCAGAAAGGAACCATCGGCATCGGCCGCAACAGATCCAAGGCACTCACATTGTTTTTGTGTGTGTGTGTTTTAAACCAAATGCTAACAGAAATTTACCTCTTTCTGACTGGTGGCAGTTGGTTACCTTCCAATTAAAGGCCTTTTTTTTTTCCCTAATGGGTTTAAAGAGTTTTCTCCAGTAGGTGGGTTTATTCTTTTAAGACAGCAATCTAGCTAACACAATGCCTCTTCGGTGCTATCAGTCCTGTCCGTAGAGGGTTACCCAAAGCGTGTCTTCCTTCGCACATCACAGAACAAAACTGTACATGATATGTATTACAGGATGTATGCAGCATGGTCGGTTTCGTTTGCTCTCAGGTCTGGTTTTGTTTCTCTTTTCTCTTTTTCTTTTTTCTTTTTTTTCTCTTTTTTTTTTTTTTTTTTTTTTTCCGAACGGAACTGGAAACAGCGACATGTTTGCTCAGCAACTTATCAGGGACAATTTAAAAACAGCCATAACATACCATACATGCTGTCTAATCCAAAAATTTAAAAAACAAAAACAAAACAACAACAAAAAAAACCAAACCAAAAAAAACCCCAACATACACAACATGTAAATTATTGCACAAGAGAAAGGCTCAAAGTCTGCGTAAAATGCAATAGTATTGCCCCGATACAGATCATGCATTCAAACGGTGAGAACAAAAAGAAAATAAACAGGGTGTGCTGGTGACAAGCACTTTCCAAATATCCTTAGCTTCCATAATTTCCATCACAAGGGACTAGAAAACCTCTACAGCAAAGCAGGATGGGGAGGGGATGGGGGTGGATGGGGGGAGGGGGGGTGTGTGTGTGTGTACGAATATACCTCTATTCAGTTTTTATCTCGTTATTCAAGACTCGATCACTGTGCCATTTTTTCATGTGTTTCTCCAGGGTACTGTACACGCTAAAAGGCATCTTACAAATCTCGCATTTGTAAACGTCCTTTCCCACCTGCCCGTGTGTTTTCATGTGCCGGGTGAGCTTGCTACTCTGGGCGCAGGCGTAGTTGCAAAGCTCACACTTATACGGCCTCTCGCCCGTGTGGCTCCGTCTGTGGACGGTGAGATTACTACAGTTCTTGAAGACCTTCCCACAGTACTCACAAGTGTCGCTGCGTCTGCCCTCTTTTGAGCTGGGCCTGCCAGG